ATATATGGGGCGACAGCTGGGCGTGCCAGCTGCAAGACATTACCGATTGTCACATTTCTAACCAAGATGCACAACAAGTTGCACAACAAAAAATGCTGAACCGTGAAATACTAAACATGCTTTATAGAATGTGAACGCTGTATCGTACGTCAATTAATGTCCACATGGGGTGACAGCTTCAAGAAATATATTTATAGCCTAGATACACCATAAAAGAAATCTTGTCGTAAAATACTATACAGTGCCTTTATTTAGGCCCGTATCGTCAGTCGTCCCTACAATTGTAGGGCGCGTTTATAGCCTCCTTGATTTCGGTAATATTACGTCTTCTTCATTAACGTACATGCATGTCCTGCTTTTGATTTCCGACATACTGTCAGTTCTGGCTTGAGGTTATGTTGTTGTTTTAATTTATAATTTTCTTGCAAATAATGTCGATCACTCAAAAATACCTCGCTGCATTGAACAAATTCCACAACCTGTGGTATCTTCAAGAAATTGTTGAGTTAGGAAAATTAATGCACATGGATATATTATATTATAATATTATATTTGTGTGTATGAAAGTCAAGAAGCTTACAACCAAGCTATTCTCTTGATGAAGGTTGGTAAGTTACAAAACAAATCATTGCATGGATAAGAAACATTGTATGGCAAGTACAATTATTGCATTGTCGATCTCAGAGATGCTTTTTCACAAATCATTGTGGGACTCTAGATTGTGTAGAGTGTCAGGCAAAAGTATATACCTATAATGTGTGTATGTGAAGATCATAATTACTATTATTGACCATCGCTATTTCAGATGCTCAAAATACCATGGTCATGTGGGATTACCAAAAATAACGTGTTACAGAGAGTAAACAGAAGAATAGAGTTGCAGCATGAAGCAAAATCAGAAAAACTTTATGACAATTCCATAATTAATTACGAATGGGAAAATAAAAGAAGATTGTGACTCATCAAGGGAATTATACTAAGTGACATATAAATCCGAACACCCAGTTTAAATGGTTTTATTTTAATAAAATTTTGTATAAGTACTTAATGAAGCATAATAAGTAAATGATAAAAATTTCAAAATGATTGCACTGCTTTAAAGCCCTTTGACCTTTAATAATGTGTGGATGCACCCTGATGTGCTACGCATTCTCCAACGCGCCTAGGCATGCTTCTGATCAGGTGGTCAATGTCCTCCTGTATTATCTCATTCCAGGCAACCACCAACTCCTCTCGAAGTGCTTCTAGAGTCTGAGGAGGACCCATCATATCCCACACATGCTCAATTGGGGATAAGTCGGGAGATCTTGGTGGCCATGGTAACAATGTGACATCATTATGTTGAAAGAAGTATATTGTGACTCTTGCAACATGTGGTCGGGCATTATCTTGTTGGAAAGTTGGATCTGCCAGGGTGTCAAGATAGGGTAAAAGGTGGGGTTCTAGAACTTCGTGGATATAACGCTGCGCGTTCATGTTACCTCTGATGAAGATTAAAGGTGACCTGGAACCATAAGCTATAGCACCCCAAACCATAACTCCAACAGTGTGATGAACATGTCTTTCAACAAAAAACTGTGGATTCCTCCTTTCACCACATCGCCTTCTAACCCTGGCACGACCATCGTGCATGCCTAAACAAAATCGAGACTCGTCACTAAAGACAATACTGTTCCATTCCTGATCCCAGAGTGACCGTTGTCTGCACCACTCAAGGCGATTACGTCGGTGTTCTCGAGTTAAAGGGAGGACGCAATGTGGCCGGTATGAAAACAAGCCAAAACTTCTCATTCGTCGGTAAACACTTCGCATGCCGATAGGTCTTCCGTGTTCTGCAAACCATTCATTTGCAATGGACCTGGTAGTGGAGAAACGGTCCCTTAAGGCCAATAATCTTAGGCGGTGATCTTGACGGTCTGTTGTTCTACGGCGGCGTCCAGTGCCCCTTGCTCTTTGCGTACGGCCTTCTCGAAGCCATGCCTGACAACACCTAACCACAGTGTCTACACTTCTTCGCACTCTAACTGCAATTGCCCGAAAAGAAAGTCCAGCTTCCCGAAGTCCCACTATACGGCCCCTATCAAACTCACTAAGTTGACGAAACCGTACAGGTCTCCGTACTCTAGGCATCGTAACCGATCGTAAAGGATGTCAAGAACCAAAATCCGCCAACGTTGATTCTTTACTGCGGCTGAAATATTCATTTTTAGAGCGTTAGTGAATTAAAAAAAAAGCAGTATAAAAACCGGAATGTCCAACTGATAAGGCTGAAAATTTTTTCACTTGTTATTTACAGTAAGATAAATACATTCACCAACTTTTATTAAAATAGAACTATTTAAACTGGGTATTCGGATTTATATGTCACTTAGTATAATTTCCTGTTAAACAGACTTCAAACAATTCGAACAACTAGATAAGCGGAAAAGACCCATTATGTTGAAAATTGTAGTTACCTCAAAGTCAGACTGGGTTAAGCACTTTAATAGGTAGTTTTAAGATAGTTTCTTTGCATTCATAATTCACTCATCATTACAGATAGATAGATGTTGCAAGTATCAAATCAAAACTCCCAAATTTATAATGAACTTAACATGTAAGACTCATTTTAGGCAAAAATGAAAACCTAACCTGGCTCTGAGGTACAGAATTTGATTTGTATTTAAACTGCTGGCTATGAATTTTGGATTTAAATCACCATCAATAATGGAGCCTTCAGCTACTGAGCATACTTCAGTGGTATCATCAAGAACAAGGAGATCAATGCACTGAGCCTCAAAGAACAACATCTTGTATTTATCAAATGTGTTGCACCATATATTAATGTTGTAGAATGTGGTATATGAAGAAAAAGTGAGGACAGCTAAATACAGTTCCAATTTGTTCATTGACTTGTAATCTTAACATAAAAGGGAAAATGTACTAAAACTGTGGCATAGGAAAGAAAAACATTTACTGTTTGAGAAAGAAATATCAAAAACTGAACTGGTTTGATATCTGAAACATTCATATGAAGAGCAGATTTTGCTAGTTATGATAGTCACAGTCAAAAAAAATATGAAATATTTGGCTCGAAAGTCGGCATTCATCTCTTGAAGTATTGGTAGCTGCAATTTAGTTTGTTTCCTAATTTAATGTCCATACCTAGGGGGTGGTTTCACGTCCATCCTGAGATGAAAACTTCAAATGATCGTATATCCTAAATGTTTTAACTTTTCAAACACAGGGTGGTAAAAAAGGTCAAAAAAATAAATTCTTCATTGTGAATACCCGTATTACCACTTAATGAAATGTGGCATACATGTAATCGTTTCACGAGGCACTCTTTTAATTTTACCTGCCTGTTTTGATAGTCAGTGATGGTATGCTGTTTATTTCTCTCTCATTAAAATTTTCAATCACTTCGAAGCAAAAATCGATGCGAAATGATTTTTTTCAATCTGATGTACGGTTTTTATAAAACCAATCATAACAATATTGTTAACATGACAATATCACCATGCAGAGAATTTTTTTGGGTAGAAATAGTGGGTCGGACATGAAAAATTGAATTCTTTTAGTCTGATGCACGGTTTTCACCTGAAAAATACAATCTATTTCTCGACATAGTGACATTGTCATAATAACGATATTAGGATCATGCGAAGAAACGTCATTTTATTCTTGTAAACAAATACCGTGCATCGGAGTCAATAAAAATTAAGCAATCAAATTTGACTAGAAATGACGGTTTTCAATTAAAAGTTTTTATTTTAAGAGAAATCAGTTGGGTACTAGCATTGTCTGCCAAAATAAGCAAGTGAAATCGGTACGAACGTCGCTGGTGGAAATCAAAAGAAAATTCGTACATTAAAAATACCTCTTGATAGTACATATATCCAGCATTTTAATAAAGTATTTAAAGTGATTACTACCCTGTTTCTCAAAAGTCAAGACGTTTATTGCATACAATTATATGAAGTTTTCTCCTTAAAATGGAACCAAAAGTCGTCCTCTTAAATACTGACATTCAATTGGAAATCAACTTACATATTTTATGTAAGTAAATTAGATTTTGTTAAAAAGGTTACTGTAAAACACTATTGTAGTTTTTAATTTTGGATATGTTTTTTAGACTATATATTTCTTCATATTTCCTGTTATTATTTGTACCTTTTAGATATAACGACTTCATTTGATTACTGATACTTAGGTATTCTGACATACGATCTATGAATTCCTTAACAATTTCATGTATCATATTTTCCAGTTGGTACTTGCAGAATATAAATAAAAGAATACTTGGTAAAATAAATATTTTTTATTCTACATTGTATACCCACAGAAATACAATAGGATTGTTCAAAAATATCCAGAAATATAGATTTTATCAATTTTTTCTCCTTGACGTTAACTAGATTATATGCTATTTTCTAAATTACAACCTATGTAAACAGGGTTAAAAGGATATCTAATCAATTGCAAAAAAATCTTTCTAGTTTGGGGGTACATTAGATCATTTTGGAAAGTTAATTAACACTATGTATCAAACTACTTGAAATATCCAATTCAAATAAATTGACCCTTCTTTTTTCCCTCTAATAACGTTCCTTACTAAGCAGTTATTGTCTTGGAACAAAATCTTGTACCCTGGGCTTATCAGGATTGGATGTTCTTTGAGCAATGCAAGTAGGTCTTAAAAAATAGTATTATAAGTAATGGTGATTTCTTATGTTTTACTCCGATATAACCATAATTGTTAAAATATGTATTTCATATAGCATTTTTGTTAGATCACCGAATTCTTATTTAACCTATGGCATCAGCTTTGTGAGATTTTGTCAAATAGAAATGTTGATTACAATATTCAAATAGCCACATTATCGAGTTTCAAGTGACATTTTATCTCTCACATGCAACATTAACCATTAGACATTTGAGAACCCCCTTCCCAGGCACAACAAAGCTCCTCTTGAACTCAATATCTTTTAACTTTTATGAATATACAGGCTTATGCCTACCTTTAATTTACAAATTGCAGTGTAACACATGTCAGTCACAAAAAGCAAGTTCCCTTATTCCAGTAAGGCTGGCTAGAAACATGCTTTCAAGTGCCTGGATGCATGAATCCATTCTTAGGAAGATCACTCGCCTCTTTATCCTTCCAGAATAGATATGGAGTTTTGTATGCAAAATCACGATGGTTTATATCTGCAAAAAAGATGCATAAATAAAATTTTACACCTTGGTGTGGGCTACAATTTTATAATGATATTTTTAAGAGTTATAGTCTGAAATTTTTAGGTTAAGGTTCCCACTAATATAAAAAAATACCAGATAGGGCAGGGCATGGTTAAACTTAATTTCAGAGCATTTACACATTATACATACTTGTAGCCTTAGACCATGCAATCCAAAGTCTAACTATGATTTGTGAACAGCCATCTCTGACATCAACAATGCAGTTGCACTTCAGATACAATGTTTCTTATCCAACATCTCATAAAGTCTGTGAGAACGAACCACATCTGAAAAAAATGCGATAAGTATATATGAATATGAATATGCAATGTTTAAAATTTTTGTAACTACCAGCTTCATCAAGGAACAGCTTTGTTGTAAGCTGTTAGGCAAATATATATAAATACACATCCATTTGCGTTAAATTGTTAATTTTAGATCATTAATACCAGATGTGGGACTTGAAGATACCACAGCCTGATGAATTTGTTCAATGTAGGAAATTATTATTGAATGATCAACATTATTTGCAAGAAAATATCTTCGGCATTTGATTCATCTGTCAAAAATTTCGTCAAAAAAGAAACATAACCTAACATCACAATTGACTTACTGTATATGTATATAATCACAGCCGACGTCAACTACGAACCGTGATGAAAGAAAGGCAACACCGCGTTCGGAGGGCATGGTAGTGCTACCTGTGAACGTCGGCCGCCAGCGGCTGTGTGCTCCGTCTCCGCGTAACGTTCAAGAACTAAATTTAATTTTGGAAAAGAGGACAGTTCGATTCGATACAAATCGTCTGAATATGAAATAGCTCTAAAAAAATTAAAAATACGAAAAAATCGTGATGTATATGAGTCGCTAATGCAGTTAACCTAATTAAAAGTATTTAGTTTACGTTTTTTGGTGTCAGCACACTGTGTTCCAACAGGCCCAGCTTGGAAATGTGGAGTTACCTGTTTGTTTTTAATACATTTACTTTCAGTTTTACTGTTATTTTTCAATTTTACATAATCATTCAAAATTATGTTTGAAAAAATAGACAAAAGCTAGATAAAATATCTGCATAATTGCGGCCACAGATGCAAGTTAAAGAAAATTCACTGTATATAAAGTCAGACTGAATGCTGAGCAAGGTTAACTGACACAAAATAAATTTTTGATTATTGCTTTTCAAGAAGAAAATTTCCAATCTATCTACATTAATAATAGATTCAAAAATGGCATACATATGGTAGAATATGATTGGTACATAACTGGTTGGAATTGACAGTCCTCCTCTTTGCAAATGATCAAAATAAACATTTGTTGTTAATGAACCTTTTTCTTTAACTATTAGCAATTTGCATATCTCGCAGTTTAGGTTTTTAGAGATAGCGTGTGAAGCATATCCAGATATATAAGTCTTAGTACTATCCTATATGTCACAATTGGTCAAGTAATTTGTCTCAAATACTTCATTGAATATATCCAAAACTTCAGGATTTTGTTTGGTATCCAAGAAATCAAAATTTTCTTGAGTTTCTAAGCAGTTTTGGAACCTTGTTTTAATTTCTGCTAAAGACAATGACGATTTCTTTTCATTGAAAATACGCTTCAGCCGTATTTTCTTTTCAGCATTTAAAATTTCATCATATGACACATTGTAATTGCAGCCACATAAAAGTCTATAATTGCCAAACTGTTTTTCTAAATTATCAGTGGTGAATTTTCCCGGCAATACATACTCAATGTCAAATTGATTAAAGAATATTCAATTATATTAAGTAGAGTCAGCGTGCTTTGATATAGAGCTGTATACGTTTCTGGTGTCAGGTGTCCAGTATTATTCTCTAGATTATGCCATTTTTCTAACCATATCAGGATGTTTTTTAAAAATTGTACTCTATAATCATATTTATTGGTAATAGGCTTACAAAATTCGTTTCGCTTCAATTCTCCTTTTATTACACTTGTATTACTGACAATATCCCACCAATTCCTGATTATTTCCAAAAAGTGTGCAGCATCATTAAACTTTAATTCTTTCATAGCAGCTATTGTTGAGTGATGGAATAAATTATCTACAAAATTTACATTTTGCCTTTCAAATGAATTTGTATGCAATGTTTTATAATTTAATTTATATGCTTTCTTAACTACAGCTTCTTTTTCCAATTGATATACAGCACGAATGTTTTCAAATTTAGCATACTGAATAATATCATTATTGTCAAAATTAGTATATTCAAAAGTTTTGTCTAGGTTTTTTAAATTAATCCAATTATTTCTGATACTCTTGAAAATATGCACAACATCATAAGTTAAATATATGTTCTTATCAGGATTATGAGGATTTGGAATAGAATAATTTTCTGATGAATCCTTTGCTAATTTCCTGAACATTGCTCTATTAATTCAGTGATTATCAGTAACAACACAAATAACTTCAAATCCACATTTTTGAACTAAATTTATCACATGTTCAACCAAAGGTGTCATTTCATCACCTGTTAGATTTGAAACTGGTAGTAATTTGATAATTTCTGTTATGTTTCCAAATGCTGAAGATAGCATGAAGGCTAAAACAGTTTTAGCCATGTCATTTTTATTTGAGGCATACCCAACAATGTTTTGTGAGCGATAGTCCAGCCTAGGTGTTATATAAATTTCATCGATCATCAAAATTACAATTTTTTCTCTTGGAGCTAATTTAATTGCTATATTCGAAAGGTAGTGTTCATTATTCCTATCATTTTTTGGAGATATATCCATACTTGAGGAGATATGTTGTAAGTATCGCTTACTTGGCAAAATAAAAAATCTTTTAATTAAATTATATGTTGATGATGAGTGGTTATAAAACGCAAAAGCCATTATTATTGAAAGTGATGCATATCTGTTTTTCCTGTTTTGAATTTGTCTCAGCTGATCAGCAATAATCTCTAGATTTTTTGTATATGGAAAAATAACTGAGTCATTATTAATTATGGAAATCGCTGTTGTAATGTCCAGCTTCTCGGAGTGTTTTACGGCTCACCAACGCCACAACACCTGTACAATCGTCCTTCGCACAACCGCTCCGTTCGAGTGTCGGTTTTCTAGTCAATACACTACATCCCTTTTTTGTTTTATTTGTTTTTATTGACTATATCTCTCTTAATACTTATACAACGATTTATATACATACATAAATATATATATATATATATATATATATATATAATGGATTTTACATGAATCAAACATAATTAATGGAATTAAAAGTTTTATGTAGCTACACTAGGGTTAAGTTCCGACATTCATTTCCTCGTCATTAATTTCATTTTGATCTTGGCAGACACTCCATTCCCCTTGAACTCTTTTCAAATGTACAACGTTCCTTCTTCGAATTTGACCGGTTTCATCGCTTCTTACCGTGATATCTCCTCCTTTCGTGTTTTCCACTGTGTGTGTTTCTGGATTGTAGTCTAAGCTTAATTTATTTTCTTTATTCACATTTTTTATATACACTTTGTCTCCTGGTATTAAATCACACTCTTCAGCCTTCCGTTTCATGTCTCCCTTTTCTTTTCCTATTTGCTTTCTTTCTTGATCTCTATCCTTAACCTCTGTGTCTTGTGCTGTCCTCTCCATTGTATCGTTTACCATAGGTAATTTATCTCTAAACTTCCTTTTGAAAAAAAGTTCTGATGGGGTTCTTCACGTAACAGAATGTGGTGTGCTGTTGTACATGGTCAAATAATCCAGCAAACTTTCTTTCCAGTCTTTATTTTCAGCTATACTTATTTTCAGACGTTTAAGTATGTCACGGTTCTGTCGTTCAACCTCTCCATTTTGTTGCGGCCAATATGGTACTGTATTGAAAAGGATGATGTTTCTTTCGGTTAGAAATGACTTAAACTCTTCGCTGATAAATTGCCTTCCATTATCTGCAGTTATTGAAATTGGATTTCCTAATCGACTGAATATTTCTTTAAGTTTGGCTACAATTTCAGTAGAGGTAATTTTACGACAAATCTTCACTTCTTTATATCCGCTGTAATAATCGACTACAACAAATAGATGGTCACCACTTGGAAGAGGACCCATCAAATCAATTGCAATATCAATCCAAGGCCCTTCTGGCAACTCACGCCGTTTCATAGGGTTTGGTGTACATGGTGCAGATACAAGAGTACATCCTCTACATGCTTTTACCCTATTATCGGCCTCTTTGTCGCATCTAGGCCACCAGACTTTCGTGCGAAGTCTTGCCTCCATTGACACGATACCGGGATGTCCTTCGTGAGCTGAATCCAAAACTCTTTTACGGAGTGCCGAGGGAACTACAATTCTCATTCCTCTCAATAAACAAAGTTCATTTTGAAAGATTTTATACAACTTCATGTCATCGTTCCATATGTTCCGATATAAACCCTCTTTCACATTCCGTATTTCCCTATCGTCCATTGAGCTATCTATTATTTCTTTAAGAGAAACAGCACGAGGTCGGGCAAACTCTACAATTTGGCAAATGTGATTGTCCTCTAGTTTTATCAGGGATTTCTCCGCACTTCTGCTTAGTCTAGACAATGAATCTGCGATATTGGTTTTTCCTGGTTGATAAACTATTTTATAGTCGTACGATTGTATCGTACATGGTTTAGATTTAGGACCAAATATTACTTCCAACGGTTTGTGGTCTGTTATGAGTTCAAATCTTTTACCATAAAGGAATATGTGGAAATGTTCCACTGCCCATACAAGAGCTAGCGCTTCTTTTTCTGTCTGGCAATAGCGGCGTTCACAGTCAGTCAAAGTTTTGTGGCCATATGCAATAATCCTAGGCTCACCTTTGGAATTAGTTTGAACTAAAACTCCGCCCAAACCCACAGGACTAGCATCTGCTATGACAATCGTACGATCGCTAACATTATAATACCCTAAGCTAGAAATATTTGACATGATTTCTTTCAACGACTCAAAACATGACTTTTGTTCTGATCCCCAATTTTCGGTTATGTCCGTTCGATTTCCTGTTTTGTTTCTTAGTAGGATTTTAAGAGGTTCTGTTACCGTGGCATAGTTGGGTATCCATTTGCTCACAAAATTAACGAGACCTAGAAAACTTTGTAGCTCTCCGGTAGTTTTTGGTGCTCTAAATTCTTTTATTGTGGAAATGTACTTTTTTAATGGTCTTACCCCTTCTCCTGACAGCTCATGTCCTAGAAAACTCACTTTTTCCATTCTAAAACAGCATTTGTCATTTCTTATCACTACGTTATTTTCATTTAAGACAGATATTACTTTTTTTAATCGCAAATCATGTTCAAGCGAGTCCTTTCCGTATATCAAAATGTCGTCAATGTAATTTACCACACCTTCACATCCTAAAAGCATGCGTTCTAATGTTTTCTGGAATATTTCTGGGGCACACGATATACCAAACATGAGTCTCTTGTACCTGAATAAGCCTTTACTAGTTATAAAGGTGTCTTGAAGCCGGATCTATTTCAAGTTGGTGAAATGCGTCTTTAATATCCAATTTTGTAAATACCTTCGCATTTTTCATTTTAGGCAGCAGCTTGTCCATTGTCGGCAATGGGTGATTTTCACGTATAATGGCTTCGTTAGCCCGGCGCATGTCAATACAAAGACGTACTTCTCCATTTTCTTTCAGCACCGGCACAACAGGGGACACCCATTTAGAAGAACCAACTACCGGCTCTATAATATCCCTTTGTTTAAGTTCTTCAATTTTGTTTTCAATTTTTGCCTCTAAAGGTATAGGGATCCTCCTGTAAGGTTGTGATACGGGTGGGATTAAATGATCGATTGGCAAGTGGATTAATACACCTTTAAATTTGGGGAAAATCTGGTAATCTACTTGATTAACTTCTGCATCCAATCCAATTCTCAAAACTCCTAATGCTATTGCCGAAGTTTTCCCTAAAAGATTTCTAGTGCCATCGATAACAACATAGAAAGTTGAGTTTTCGGATCTTAGTCCTACTTTAATCTGAGCCTCGAATGATCCTTTTATCTTCAGTGGTGTAGAGCTACCATAAGCCATAAATCTAACATCGGGATTTGGAAGTTGATTATACACATTAACTTTGTTTTTCTTTAATTTTTCCCAAGTTCTTTCCGTAATCAAATTCTGCTTGCAGCCCGAATCAATCAACACCTTAGTTTGTACTCCTCCAATAGTGCACTTAATTTCCAGATCGTCATCAATGTGGAAAACATACTCAGTTTCTCCCTCTTTATGTGCTGTGTTGTTAGAAGAGTCACCCACTTCGTTGACTTCATTCTTCTCCCTGTCAAAACGACCTTTCTTTTGTTCATGTCTATACTCGCTATCCACTCTCCGCTTCAATGTCTGTTTCGTTCGGCAGTATTGTCTGAAATGCCCCTTAAGACCACACTTTTGGCATTCTTTGTCCCTTGCTGGGCATCTTGCATCATTCCCAGCATGTCTAGGATTACCACATCTACCGCATCCATGTTGAACATTTCTTGATTTCCTTTTAAATTTACTATCCATCCTGTTTACTTCTTGATTCTCATTTGATCTAAGTGGGTTTTTGAACTCTTCCAATTGTTTATTAACAACTTCAAGCGTATTTGCTTCGGTGATTACTTGCTCTAATGTAATGTCATCTCCAATTTTTAGTATCTTTTTCCTCAGTTCAGGTAGGAAACATTTTTCTGTTATCTGGTCAATAATGTTCCCTTCCCTGTCGGCAAACTGGCATTTGTCGGCTTGTTTCCTCAATCGCAAGACAAATTTTTTGAATTTTTCGTCAGGTTCTTGTTTAAGGAGCCTGAAAGTGTGTCTCTCGAACACTTTGCTTTGTCTTGGTGCAAAGTACGCATCAAGTTTTGATATCGCTATTTCAAAAACGTCTACGCCTTCGGCTGGTTCCACGTTGGTCCCAGGAATGTTATAGAATACTTCCTGCAGGTCTAGCCCGCCGAAATGTAGAAGAGAGGCCCTTTTCTTGATGTCTCTGTCAATATTAGCCGCTTCGAGGTAGATGAATAGCGCTCGCTTCCATCACTCCCATCGTGCACCCACTGAGGTAGATTCCCCGTTACACTCAAACTTTTCTAGTGAAAGGTGTGACATCTTTGGGCGACCTGGAATAATCAATTTAATGATTCAGATATCTATGTATCTGTAGTTAGATTTTATCTTAGATGCTTCCATCTCATATCAATTTAATGATCGGATTATAGTTTTATCCGCATAAATCTACTTAAGCCGTCCATACCGGCAAACGTATAAATTTAATTATCAGATTTTAATCTGCTAATTTAGTACCTACGAACCTCATACAATAATAATTTTATTGTAAGGCTTTTGTTTATGATATCAATTTAATGATCAGTTCGCTTCCAACTGCTTTGAGTAGATACTCCCTTCTATTTATCAGTACCTATTAATCACGACAACATAGTTTTAATCAATTTAGGGAAACAGATCCAATTTAATCTGCGTTAGTTTTGGTACCTACCGATCTAACGGTCACCGGTTGTCTTTAAACCTTGCTATTTTTGTAAACAAATAGGTACATGACTAAAATACAAGCATAATACAATATATTTCTCCCACTACGTAGGTAGGTATTACAAAACATCTTACATTTAATGTACTCGTAGTTTAACCTAGCTGAATTCACAAGTATTCATTTGTTTACTGCACCGTATCGCCATTTTTTCCCATTTGTTTTTGCTCACTAATGTGTACTTACTATTTTCCTCGTCGCCACATGTAATGTCCAGCTTCTCGGAGTGTTTTACGGCTCACCAACGCCACAACACCTGTACAATCGTCCTTCGCACAACCGCTCCGTTCGAGTGTCGGTTTTCGACTGCCCAGTGAAGTGAAGTAGGCGCCTGAGACAACCAAGCAACACTTTATCTAGTCAATACACTACAGCTGTGTCAAGTTCCAATGCATTCATGATGCAAACTTCAGTTTTTGTGTTGGTTCTCAGAAAAATAGAAAAAATACCTATTTAGCAGGTTTTCTAATTGGGACCATCTGGTAATTTTGAGATCATATGGCAAAACCCACTTCAAGTCACTAAAAGAAAGCTTACATCTTTTATGAACAACCTGAACTTCCATCTGACCATCAACTATAATCTGTGTATTCAAAGTTAAGATATCATTTTCAAAATCCAATTTATAAAAATATAGCTTTCCATCAGATAATTTATTATTCCATTTCTGTGAGGCTTTAATTTTTGAAAATGAAGAATGTAATTCTTGAAAGTCTTTGATCTTATCCATATCATCGAAATTCTGGATAGCTTTTTCATGTTTCTCAATTAATTTTTGTTTTCTTTGCATTGGGTCAATTCTTTTGGGTGCTTCAGTTTTTGAAAGATATGATGGCAAGTTTGGGAAAATGGAGGGAACAGCATTTTCTTTCAATTTTGGATATTTCAAAGGTATATTATTTTGGACTGTTCCATCCGCCAAATCTATATTTTCTTTCCTGATGATATCCGATTCTCTAAAATGACGACTGCACACAGCTGAATATTTTGAAGGTGTCCAATTTTTTTCTGGGAATTGCCATAAGCCATTTGTTTTTCAGACTTTCGGTACTTGGGAAGCGAAAAGTTGAAACATAGCTTTCTGTTTTCAAAGCAGAATTATAGTTTGCATTGCATAAAGGAACACAGCAACAACGAGGCATATTGTCTGCGTCAAATACTTGATAAATGAAAAAAGAAAAATACAACCTGAATTTGCACGTTTTCAATAGTTGAAATCGTTAGCGTCCTGAGGCGCGAACAGCCACAGTCACACTTCTTAGTTTATTTTCAAAGCACAGAAGCACTACAACTGGAGTCTATTTTTCATATATTATAGTCACCGATCACTTTGAACACATACACACACTTTGAAGCTTAGAAAACAAGCTTATCTCTTAATTACAGCGTCTGGGATTGCCAAATCACAAATTGAAAAGGTTTGGTTTTCTCAGCGTTTTGAGCACGAGTCGGGAGTAACACTACCACCTACGTTGCCAGATTTCTTTGTTCACGGCTCGTAGTTGACGTCGGCTGTGATATAATCAAATTCAAGCGGATAACCAAATGAAAGTGTTATTTACCAATTTGGGTTGGTATTTACCGATCCGTTCAAGCGAGTGTGGTTATCAGTTTGGTTATAAGATCCGTGACTTCATGAATCAGCTATTATATATCATAGTTATCACCGCAAAATTGTGGTATTTACCCAACTCAGGAGTAGTTTTATATTTCTGGTTATTATTTGAAATGTGACAAGTTAGAATTTTGCCGGGTATTGGATATTGTTATTGTACTTCAGCTTCATTTTTGGGAAACTTGATACAGGCTGACTTCAGTTTTACCATAAAGTGGAGCACCTTTTTAGTTATACTCATTACTGTTATTGAGGACACTTTAAATGTAGTTCATATGCTTAACAAAGTATCCTGTGTAGCCATATACCACAAGAATATTAAAATATGGCCATATAAACTCACTAGATGATGTCCAGTTTTGCTAATATCTTTTTCATCATTTCTGCTGAATCAATAAATATTTTCTTTGACATGCAGAAAACTTTAGAGAATTTAAAGTTATCATAGCTACAAAGCCATGGTTCCATAATTAAAAAAAAATCTGAGAAAAAAACATTTCTCCCATGAATATTATGAAAGGTTTCTTTTTTAAACTTTCAATACACAGTTGAAGACGAAAAAGCACCGATTATTAAGTGTTAATAAAAATAATCAGAGATTATATACGCGCTTTTCTAAAATGGTGTTGTGCTCGGCTTTTGGTTGCAAAAATCGCAGTGAGAATAAAGTTCCAGGAATAACCTTTCACAGGTAAATTTTTTAGTTATATTGATAACGTAAATACCTTAATTACTTTATAACTCCATTTTAAACGACTGCAACAATATTATTTCAGTGATATAAGTACTACTTCACTTGAATGCATAATTTAAATTAGTTATAGCCATGTGTTTCATTCAGGATTTGTTTGAATTTATATCACTATTATGATTGAATGGCGGTCATTTGCCAGTGGCGGGTGTGATATTTTTTTATTTATCATATTTTCAAATATGTTCAATATCAAGTTAGTTTAGTATTGTTGTCATTGTCTTTCAGGTTTCCTCTTAAAGATCCAACAAGAAATGGTATGTGGCTGAAGAATATGCATCTAGCTGACTGGTTTCCCACAAAAAATAGTAGTATCTGTTCAAAGCATTTTGAAATCCATGATTTTTACAAAGTTGGAAACAGAACCTCTCTTTTGGATGATGCAGTCTCTACAATCTTTGAAGAACTTCCAAAACACCTACAGACTAAGGTAATTTAACACTTAACCCAACATATTAAGAAATTTACAAAACAAATTATTCATTTACTCAGTTCACAGAGAAATTCTACCAATAATTACTATAACCTGAAATAAAAATAAAAATACTAATTAAGTTGAGGACTAATTAATGTAATTGAGATATATTTGATTGCAGGTAACAAAGAGACCGCATCCAAGATCTAGACAGCTTATTAGTTTTGGTCTTTCATCAAAAGTAAAAGGCACAGTGGCCTTTCACCTTCTGAATTCACTCACAATGATTGTGTTTTCAATAACCCTGTTGATATAGCAAATGCCTTCGCTAATTTTTTCCAGTCTGTGTATTCTACCCCCAATGTAGCAGCTAGGCCAGATGATGATATTATTGCTACAAACAATATTGTGCTGAATAGCTTCACAGAAAAGGAGGTTCTTGTGGCATTAAAGAAAATGAAAAACAAGTTCACTACTGGACCTGATGGTATACCTGCATTCTTAATCCGTGATTGTGCACCTATTCTTGCTGCACCTTTAACTAAAATCTATAACCTAAGTATCAGATCACATACATTTCCTGAGATTTGGCGTGAAGCCAAGGTTCGACCTATCCATAAAAATGGAAGCCGTAAATTAATTGAAAACCATAGGCATATCACTATTGTAAGTAATTTTTCGAAAACGTTTGAAATGTTATTACATAATTTCATACAATACAACGTAAGTTCTTCAATTTCTACAGCACAACATGGATTTGTAAAAGGAAGGTCGACAACAACAAACTTAGTCTGTTTAACTCAATTCCTAGCAGGTGTTTTAGATTCTAATGGTCAGGTTGATGTGCTATATACTGATTTCAGTAAAGCGTTTGATAGAGTCGATCATGGTTTACTACTGGGAAAACTAAATAGCATTGGCTTATCCAAAAATTTGGTATTATTATTTCAGTCGTATTTGTCTGATCGCAAACTATATGTGGATTTTAACGGTGGTAAATCAATTCACTTTTTTCCATCTACTAGCGTCCCACAAGGATCTTCCTTAGGTCCACTACTATTCGTCATTTTTATCAATGACTTGGTTAATACGATTGACTGCAATATTCTGCTCTACGCGGACGACGTAAAACTGTACTAGCAAATTGATGATCCATCTAGTTGCTTTTATTTACAAAGGAATCTTGACAGACTGTCTGAGTGGTGTACTGCTAATAAACTTCCTATCAACGTGAGCAAATGTAAATCTTTAACTTTCACTAGGAGAGTAAATTCAATTACCAATAGTTATAAAATTAACAACATTCCTCTTCAGACTTTAGAGGAGTTCAGGGACCTAGGAGTAATATTTGACAGGACATTGAGCTTCAGTGCACACCTAACTAATTTAATGAATTCTGCCAATAAAGCACTTGGATTCGTTATACGCAATTCAAGAGAGTTTATCGGTACCACAGCACCTACAGTGCTGTACAATTCGTTTGTTCTTTCTAAGCTGGAATACGGAAGAATAATCTGGAACCCATGCTATGTTACCTCATGTGACTCATTGGAAAAAATTCAGAGGAAGTTCTTGAAGTATTTATCTCTCAAAACTGATGGTGTTTATCCTCCCATAGGGATTTCACAAAATAACTTACTTCAAAAGCATAGGTTTCTCAGCCTTGATAATAGAAGGAAGATACAATCTTTAGTCTTTTTGTTCAAAGTTATAAATTATCAACATGACTGTCCATCATTTTTGTCTATGCTAAATTTCAATACACCTAGAGTACGAACAAGGGCCAACCTTGCCTTTTACCTACCTACCGCACGAACGAATCTACTGCTGCACTCACCGCTATATTCGATATGCTCATGTTATAATGACTATATGAATTATTTTGATATATTCAACACATCCATTTTTATTATTAAGAGAGTATGTAAAGCGGTAGTTTTTTTAGAGCTACCACAGTTTGATTGAGCTTGATCATATCAGTGGTAGCTTTTCATGGATTCTTATTGGTAATTGCTAAGCAATCAATGCAATTAGTTTATTTTGTGATTTTTATATATACTTATGTACGGTATTTCCCACCACTAATTGGTTTATAAACTGTTGGTGGTGTAATTAAATAAATAAATAAATAAATAAATAAATAAATAAATTACACCTACAGCTTCGACATCTAGGAAAAATGATCCTCCCCAAGAAGATCCAGACACCCCCAGAAAGAAACATCTTAGAAGACAGCTTTTTGCAGAGAGGGTAAAGAGCCAAGAGAAATCCAGAGAAATAAAAGTTTTGAATCAGCGGGTGAGAAGACTGAAAAGACATATTGTTTCTCTCAAACAAGTAGTGAAAGCCTTAAAACAAAATAATTTGGTATCTTCTGAAAGCTCAGTTCTGCTTGAAAACATGCTAGAAATTACGAAGGAATTACAAAACCGTAAGTTGGGAAAAAAGCATCAGTATTCTCCAGAACTGCGGAAGTTTGCAATTACTTTGTGTTTTTTCTCCCCAAGAGGATATGATTATGTACGAAATGCTTTTGAAACCTGTTTACCCCATAGAAGCACTATAGGAAAATGGTTTAAGACCACTAATGCTGAACCAGGTTTCTCTAGTGAGGCAATTAATGTTTTGAAGGAAAATGTAGAATATTCGGATAAGCCTGTACTATTAAGCCTCATTATAGATGAGATGTCCATTCGGAAGCATCTTGAATGGGATGGTAGAAAATTTCATGGATATGTCAATTATGGCATTGATTTAGAAGATGATTCTAACTTAATGACCAAAGAGGTATTTGTTATGATGATTGTTAACATTAATGGAACTTGGAAGCTGCCAGTTGGCTATTTCCTTGTAGATAGTTTGAATGGAAATAAAAAAGTGTACTTGTTTCACAGTGCATACAATTAGTTTCTGCTACAGGAGCACGAGTTGTATTGCTTACATTTGATGGTGCTCCTTCAAATATTGCAATGGCAAATACTTTGGGAACCGATAATTCTTATGACTCATTAAAATCACATTTTTCTTTAGATGGTGACAACATTTATGTTTTTTATGATCCCAGTCATATGATAAAATTAATAAGAAATGCTTTTGGGGAAAAAAAACTACTAATAGATTACAATGGGAATTTCATTAAGTGGGAATTTATAGAAAAACTGGAAAAACTTCAAGAATCCGAAGGACTTCATTTAGGAAACAAACTGCGAAAAGCCCATTTAAGTTTATTTAAACAGAAAATGAAGGTAAGATTGCCAGTGCAATTATTAAGTGCTTCTGTAGCAGATGCGCTTTGTTATTGTGAACAACAATTGAACTTGGAGGAATTTAAAGGGTGTCAGGCTACTGCTAAATTTATTAATATTATAAATAACTGTTTTGACATTTTAAATAGTAGATCCTTGATTCCTCCAGGTTACAAAAAGTCTCTATGCATTCGAAATATAGATTCAACAAAAACCTTCATTGAGGAGGCAATCAATTATATATCATCGTTGAAATTTATTGATGGAGAAAAATTGATTGAATCTAGGAGAAAAACACGTTTTCTGGGTATAATTATATCTCTAAGAAGTGCTTTGCTGATGTATAATGATATAATTTTAGATAGAAACGGACTAATCTATTTGCCATTATATAAAGTGAGTCAAGACCACCTTGAATTGTTTTTCTCTTCAATAAGGTCTAAAGGTGATTGGAATAATAATCCAACAGCTCGACAATTCACTTCAGCCTATAAAAGACTAATTGCTAGAGCAGAAATTAGGGAGGGCGGTGTGTGTAATTGCATTCCACTGGATGATATAC